AGTGTTCAACAGCTCCGTGGATTAGTGGTTAGCACTACTGTCTCATAACGCTAGGGTTGTTGGTTTGAATCCCAACCACAGCAATGAATTTGCATGATCTCTGTGTGTGACTACCCTAACATACATGTGCTGGTGGCAGCATCTTTGCTTTCTGTTTAAACGATCCCTAGAATGTGAATTAGAATGAGGCCTTGTCTGTTCAAACACCTTTAAAGTAGCACCTTATGTGAATGTCAAACCATGGGATGAGATAAGGGCCTGGACTAATGATTGATTGGATAATGCTGGTTTGCACTCCACATCCTTTGGGAAAGTTTGTCAAACCATGAGAAGAGTGAGTGAAAGAGATGATGGATTAAAAAAATAAAATAAAATAATGGCGTGGAGTCCCCCCCAAATCCAAAACAGACCCTTATCTGAGCATGCAGATACCGCATGCCTTCAAAGGTTTATTTCCTTTGTTGAATTGCCTGCTTGGTTCACACTAGATGTGATTTAAAATTGTGCTTTTTGTTGGCAATTTCACCGTGTTTTCTGTAAATTTACCAATGAGCCATTGCGTTTTCAATTGTGTTTTGCATTGCGATTTCTATTGTAGTCTATATGTGAAATCGCTACAAAATGCTGAAAAAGTTAGACGAGAACTACTTTTGAAATTGTGCTGCAGCAAATCGCTTACGTTAAGACACTCACAATTGAGGTGTAATAGAGATTTTGGGGCTCATGGGTGATGTGGCCTGTAGAGTGGGAAACAGTGGTTTGTTTTTGTGGCTATCGCCGTTTGCAGGTAACCTATGTTACACTATGGAATTACTGCAGGTCATAATTTGACAAGCATATGGGTGCAGGTGTACAGCCCTGAACACAGACAGTGAGCATTCAGGGCCACTTCCCTACGCCTTCACACCTGTCAGATTAAAACCTGTGTTCATACAGCTGCTGTGTCCCCATAGTGTAACAGGTGGCTCTAGCCACATAAACAACCCACTCATTCATGCTGTACAGGCCAGAGGACCTGTGTGAACGGGGCATTTTTTACTTTTTTTTCTCAGCTCGTTAATTTCAATGGCCTGCCTAATGTGTGGGAACATGCAAAAATACTGCAGGCATATTATTTTAAAAGTGTGTTGCACCTAACCACGCACATCTGCAAAGGGCATTGCATTTCTTTGCTGTGCTGGAAAATGTGTGTTCTAGCATGCGTTTCTGCACCACCAATGGTGTGAACAAGTCTTAAGGGCCAGTTCACACTATAGAAACAGTCTAGATGTGTTCCTGATCTGTTTTTGCATGCCCTTTTGGCATGCATGTTTTAGTGTGTTCCAGTACATTTTGGATGCGTTTTGGACACGTTGCATTGCATTTTTGTATCCCTTCCAGTTAGTTTTTTCTACTTTCTTTTTATTCAATTTAATTAGGGACATGTGCGTTTTAGTACATTCAAGGACGTTTCAATGTGTTCCAGTACAGTTCTGTGCAGAAACAATGCAGCGTGGTCAACTTTGTTTACAGCACCTGCAATGCACTGAAAATGCAAGCGCTGATGTGAACTATGACATTGACAACCATATAACCTTCTTTCTGTGCGTTTGTGATGCCGAAAAAGCAATTGAAACACATGTAGTGTGAACTGGTCCTAAAGATTATTAGAGGTAAGGGAACGGGACTGACCAGGGATTGTGAATTCAATCAGACTAGTGGTGATATACAATCAGCAATCGTATAATAATGTGAGATCTGAGCTGTAGCTGATAGAAAATGAGACACATTCACTTGATCAGTAAATAGTTAAAAAGAGAGGGGCGGTGATCCATAGATTTGCATATGGGACAGGTGATGATGGGGTGGGGGAGGGGGTCAAGTTGTATAAGGAGACAGATTTAAAAGAAGAGAAAAAAAGTTACAATGAAATATACACAGCATGAAACTTGCACATTTCCTAATTGGCAGAAGAACAGGACGCAGGTAACATTCATCCACTTTCTAGTCATTAGGCAAAATCATAATTGATTGATCAATATTCCTGGCACTGACACAACCCAGAAAATTGATCTCCATTTTTTTAATGTTCATAAATGTCAAGGAGCTTATAATCTAAGGGCAGAAACTCAGCCATGTAACTAGGTCCAATTAACCTAACAGCATGTCTTTTAAGTGTTGGCAGAAACACATCTATACAGGGAATGCATGCAAACTGGGATTAGAACCCATGACCCAAGTGCTGTAAGTTCTGAGCTCTAACCACTAAACCACTGTGGGAGACAGTTTGAGATACAATGTAGAATAGTTACATTGTTTAAAAATGATAAAGCGCTGGTCAAATTATATAGACTACTAAAATGGTATTACACAAGATAAATATAACCACGAACAGTAGTGCATGAACTCGTGAAAGGTCATCCACCCCTGTGACAGTGTACTACACTATTAAGCACCTTTCTGGCTCTTGTGGCTGAGCTAATTCCTCCCCAGGACTATTTGGGCACCCACCCTGATGGATGGATGGATGGATGGATGGAGCTGGATGACTAACCCATAGCTGCCAGCATACCGCTGCACCCCCAGATGTGTGATGTGTATAACCCATGCGCATTAATACTTTTGTTCTGGTGAGTGTAGACCAGTCCCAAGGGTGGTTTACCTTTCACGAGTTCATGCACTACTGTCCGTCACGGGGAGACCACACGTGCCATTCATAGGCACTCACTGAGTTGGTACTCTGACACGAAGGACATTCCATTATTCAGGAATGATTATATGAACTTATTTTAGCACCATTTACCATTTTACATCATTATTGCAATTCTTTGCACTTTTTGGTTTTTACATGCGTTCATTATTGATCAAATGCATTTATAGCGCTGCACTTGTCTTTAACATAGAATAGTTACGTGATTAAAGAGAATGAAGATATATAATTATATTGGGATTTGAGATATAAGTGTGAAAATGTTTAACATTTGAAAATAAAATGTATGACATTCATTAGTAAATGCATTAGTTTCCTGATCATTTTGGAGAAACAGCAAAAAAAAAAAAAAAATAACAATTCTAATATAGGTGTACTATTTGTTACATTCTAAGTATTCTCTTTTGCTAACACAAAAACGCCAATGCTATAAAGCCCGTGCTTGTGCGCCATCTAGCGAACATATCCAGTATTGCACCTAAAAATGTGCCAGACGCGATTCCACATTTACTAATAGCAAAGTAGACGTTCGTCAATGAGATTGCTAGACGCCGCTCAGAAGACTAACAGGTCTTGATTGATTTAATTGAGTCTGCCTGAATGGTCAGAGTCTGCTAGTAGACTTACGTCTTAGTAAATCAGGGCCATACTGTCAGCCCAGATTCAGCCAAATGCAGCAAAGTTGATTGGACGGCTTCACAGTACACATGGACAATGATCCAAAACACACTGCAAAAGCAACCCAGGAGCTGTTTAAGGAAAAGATGTGGAATATTCTGCAATGGCCGAGTCAATCACCTGATCTCAACCCAAATGAGCATGTATTTCACTTGCTGAAGGCAAAACTAAAGGGCAGAAAGACCCACAAAGAACAACTTAAGACAGCTACAGTTAGAGCCTGGCAAAGCATCAGAAAGGAGGAAACACAGTTTTTGGTAATGTCCATGGGTTCAGGCAGTTATTGCCAGTAAAGTATTCTCAACAAAATATTACAAATGAACATTTTATTTATGATTATATTCTTTTGTCTAATTACATTTGAACCCCCGGAAAATGGAGGGGACTGTGTATAAAAATGGTTGCAGCTCCTAGAATTTGTACTTGAACTTCAAATTCATTTGGATTGTTTTGTTTTAATTTATTCTGGTGGCATACATAGCCAAAAGTATGAAAATTGTGCCTGTGTCCAAATATACAGTATATGTACCGAACTGTACATCTAAATTAAAAAAAAAAGATTTTTTTTACTATTTTGGGCCAGATTTCCTTTGATAATAAAAAAAGAAATCAAGAGATATCAATTACTATTTACCACCAAATGAAAGATCAGTTTGTCCTGAAATAAACAAGGTATAATTCACCTGGATGCACACAGTAGTTGTGATTATATGTACAGTTTTGCTAACACATGTCAAAGTTGCAAAACTGTGCTTAGACGTTAAGATTTGTTTTACCCTTAGGCGCGAAGGGGTTAAATACAGAAATTAGATTAAACACAAGTGAACAGTTTATGCTCACTCCATTGTGCAGTTGGAAACTTCATCTATCAAGAAAATGTGCAACTTCCTATTCATGGTAAAGCCCAAATGGGTTCCTAGTCCTTAGCAAAATTCAAAAACTTTCCACTTGTACAGACTAATATATTTTCTACTCTTACATTTCTCCTTACCTTTTACATCCTTGTATACTCATACGAGAGGTATCTGATCCATGTGTATCTGTAAAGTACTTTGCTACAGTATTGCTGCAATTGTTGATATTATATAAATGGTCTCTAGGCCGATCCTTTAGTCTTCCCATGGTTCAGCCCACACATTTATTACAGGTTATTGAGTTATTAGTACTGAGTATTGCATTTTACATACTTTTCATTTCCAAATATATTCAAAGACGTGAACCAAGAATCTTTGCCAATTTTCACATATGGACAACGTTGACATTATACAGCATATACTGTGAAGAAAATGTGTGGTGCTATAAGTAATACATTAACTTATAAATGTGTCAAATTTCACTTGTCTCCAAACAAATGAACGCTATTACAGTAGCAGTAAACTCTCTTCTTTAAGTAGTTGCCGACCGCAGATAGCCGAATGACGGCTAAACTGCGGCCGGCCAGTTCTGAGTGGACGTCATATGACGTCCTCCCAGAACGCGCTCTCCTGCGCGCCCCAGGGGGCGCGCACCCGGCGATCTCCGTGATCGCTGTGTCCTACGGACACAGCTGATCACGTGATGTGGTAAAAGGCCAATCATACCGGCCTTTTACCACGTGATCAGCGGTGTCCAATGACACACTGATCACAGGGAAATGCAAGTGCCGGTTCTCCGCTGCACTTTCCTCACGCTGTCAGATCGTGAGGAAAGTACTGCCGAGAACCGGCAGTTGTCAGAGCGGGGATCGGCACCGATCATCAGGGCACTGATGATCAGTGCCCTGATGATCGGTGCCCAGCAATGCCACCCGCAAGTTCCGCCCACCTGTGCCCAGCAGTGCACCCACTAGCTCCGCCCACCTGTGCCCAACAGATCACCCACCTGTGCCCAGCAGTGCACCCACCTGTGCCCAGCAGTGCACCCACCTGTGCCACTCTGCAGTGTCACACACCTGTGCCCAGAAGTGCCACCTACCTGTGCCCAGCAGTGCCACCCACCTGTGCCCACCCACCTGTGCCCACCCACCAGTGCTGCCCACCAGTGCCACCCACCAGTGCAGCCCAGCAGTGCTGCCAGTCAGTGCCACCAGTCAGTGCCCAGGGGTTGTGCCAGTCAGTGCCGCCAGTCAGTGCCCAGCAGTGATGCCAGTCAGTGCCGTCTATCAGTACCCATCATCAGTGTCACCTATCAGTGCCGCCTATCAGTGCTGCATATTAGTGCCGCCTATCCGTGACACCTCATTAGTGCTGTCTATCAGTGCCGCCTATCCGTGCCACCTCATTAGTACTGCCTATCAGTGCCCTTTAGTGCTGCCTATCAGTGCCCATCAGTGCCACCTATCAGTGCCCATCAGTGCTGCCTCATCAACGCACATCAGTGAAGGAGAAAAAATACCTGTTTGAAAAATTTTATAATAGAAACAAAGAAACTTTTTTTTTTTTTCACATTTTTTGCACTTTTTTAATTTATAGCGCAAAAAGTAAAGCGCCCAGTGGCGATTAAATACCACCAAAAGAAAGCTCTATTTGTGAGAAAAAAATGATCAAAATTTCATATGGGTACAATGTTGCATGACCGCGCAATTGTCAATCAAAGTGCGGCAGCGCTGAAAGCTGAAAATTGGCCTGGTAAATAAGGGGGTATAAGTGCCTGGTAGGCAAGTGGTTAAAGAAGAATTCCAGGCAAAAATAATTTTCTCATACAGTGGGGCTGCATGGGTTAAATGCTCTTCTTTTTTGTCTAGGGGCTCAGAAAGCAAAGATATTTTTACTTAACCCACCTATCCTCTGAGCGCAAGACTGGTCCCCGCTGCTCCTGCCCCCCTGCATGTTAGCGGTCTTATCCACCGCTGGACGTGGGGAAGTGCAGTATTCCGGAGGATCAGAGGAATGGCTCAGTGCAGCTTTCCCCTGAGCTCCTGGACAAAATGAGCACTTGAATAAAAGATTTGACTGGAGTTCTGCTTTAAAAAACTCACTGACAGGCAGGGTTTTTATAATAGAAGAGACCCTAGTGGTCTCTGCTGTCGTAAATGCCCCCCCACCTGTCAGCTGGTAATGTGATCCGAGCCTTCACATATGGGTGTCTTTCCCCCAGAGGTCTCGCCCTCTTCAACAGACCATATAAAGATGACATTATAGATGAGGAATAATTTGTAAAGGACAGTAGATTCTGAGGTGAGCCTACAATTTACTGCAAGTAGGAACATGCAATCAATTTTAGGAGGCTCAAAAAAGGGAGCTATGGTGTTGAAAGGAAGAGGTGTAGGTATAGGTCTGGAAATCAGTTGGTGTAACTTTGGCCAGGTACTTCTATGGGAGTTCTCTTTTTTTCCCTTCCTGGATTGAAATTTCATCTGACAGTAGATGAGTCATGGTTATTGTTCTGTTCTCTCTACACGTTTCCCTGTGTGTAACTCAACATGCAGCTAAACCCTCCTGTGCTGCAATAAGCCACATTGAATGTAATCTTGAAGTTTTATTAACAAAAAAGGGTGGTGTGAAACTATTAAGAAAAAACAGATAAGAAGTACGTATATTCAGTGTAAGAACATACACAGTGAACAGGCTATAGAAATTCCAAGCCTACCAGTGGTGCTGCCTTTACGGGATGCAAAGAGATGCAAGTTTTAGTCCAACATGTGCTCTGATAGCTGGCTCTTTCTCTTATAGTTTCTAAGATGGAGTCTGAGCTCCCTAAATGTGTCTCTTTCCTTTCTCTCAGAATTATTGGAATTTTTAATAATTCTTGTCTAAACAGTCTCTAGTTCCTGTGAACCAGTAAATGTATTACCGGCTCCATTCAGTGGTCACCTTTGATATTGCAGGCAGGATAGGCATAATATATTCCCCCACTGGAGTCAGAACACTCCCCACCTGCTATCAACTGAAACCACTATTAGGTTCCTCAGAAGAAAACAGCAAGACCAGATCAGAAACTGTTCTGAGGAACAACTTTGCTCACTTGTAGCTGTGAACTTTAACTTCAGCCTTTCTGACTCTCCCATCTTCACTTGGAAGAGTTTTCGTGATAAGGCACTGTGATCAAGAAATGGGTCAAGCTTTTGCAGAGCTCTGTGAGTGGGAATTGATTTCTTGTTTAAAGCATTCACTATATCTGGTCTACAGTACACAGAACATGGAAGTGTAATTATTTTAGTAAATATAAACTGCAAAATACCTTTTCTCATCAGCAGTTAGAGCAGTGTTGTGACTTCTATCAGTGGCCAGCAGAGCACATGTTAAAACTTATAGGAGGAGTTTTCCTCTGTCTGGACAGTGCTGATTGGCCCTGTACTGATCACATGCACTCTTCCAAGTAAACAAAACCTCTCTAGCGATACCCATCAAATTGAGCACACGATATGTCTTATCAGGAGATAAGAGGGTGACACTAGAAGAAGGGGAGGATCATAGAAGTCAGGATCAAACAGTGTTTTTACACAGGGCAGATGATTAACCCCTTAGGTTCCAAGGTGAATATAACAAGCATGCTTTACTGCATATACAGACTGATTTTACTGTTGTGGGTTTAGGAACACTTTAAGATAGTTCTTACATAGCTCTTACATAGTTAGTCTAGCTGAAAAAAGACAAAAGTCCATCCAGTTCAACCATTAAAAAAAAATATATATATATATATATAATCCTACACCCACAGTTGATCCAGAGGAAGGCAAAAAACCCCCAGCAAAGTATGATCCAATCTGCTCCTGAAGGAGAAAAAATTCCTTCTTGATCCCCCGAGAGGCAATCGGATATTTCCTGGATCAACTTTACCTATAAATGTTAGTATCCAGTTATATTCTGTGTATCCAAGAAAGAATCCAGGCCTTTTTTGAAGCAATCCACTGAGCTGGCCAGAACCAACTCTTGTGGGAGTCTATTCCACATTTCCACAGCTCTTACGGTGAAGAAACCTTTCCATATTTGGAGATTAAATCTCTTTTCCTCCAGATGCAAAGAGTGCCCCCTTGTCCTCTGAGATGACCTAAGGGTGAATAACTCTACACCGAGTTCATTATATGAACCACTGATGTATTTATACCACTGATGAATTTATACATGTTGATCATATCCCCCCTTAATCCCCTCTTCTCAAGAGAGAATAAATTCAGTTCCTCTAATCTTTCCTCATAGCTGAGCTCCTCCATGCCTCTTATCAGCTTGGTTGCCCTTCTCTGTACTTTCTCCAGTTCTCCAATGTTCTTTTTGTGAATTGGTGCCCAAAATTGAACTGCATATTCCAGATGATGTCTTACTAATGATTTTTACAGGGTAAAATGATATCTCTCTCTCTCTGGAGTCTATACCTCTTTTAATACAAGAGAGGATTTTGCTCACTTTAGAAACAGCAGCTTGGAATTGATGCCATTATTAAGCTTGTGATCTACCAGAACCCCCAGATCCTTCTCCACCATTGATTCCCCCGGTTGTACTCCCCCTAGTATGTATGATGCATGCACATTCTTAGCCCCCAAGTGTATAACCTTACATTTATTAACATTAAACCTCATTTGCCACATAGTTTCCGAACTAAACAGTGCATGAGGTCGTCTTGTAAGTTGGAGATATCCTGTAAGGATGTTATTCCACTGCACAGCTTGGTGTCATCTACAAAGATCGAAATGGTATTTTTAATCCCAGACCCTATATCGTTTTTAATTATATTAAAAAGTAAGGGTCCCAACACTGAACCTTGGGGTACACCACTAACAGCCTTAGACTGTTCAGAGTATGAATCATTAACCACTACTCTCTAAATACGATCTTTTAGCCAGTTTTCTATTCATTTATATACAGATTTTTCCAAGAAGATACAGTCAATCTCTTTGGCATAAATTTGGTGTGGAATAAAGGTGTGGTTGATGAAGTCTTGAAACTGCTGGAGTTCCAATGCTGAACTAATCCTTTAAAAGTGGTGCCAGCCTTTCCAGTCATAGCCATTTGCATAAGTATGTTACAACCTGGTTCACCTGCTGGTGGAGCTGTGGCTATCTGGGCAGGAAGTCCACCAGCAGGTGTCTCCCAGCAGGTTCCAGCAATCAGCTCCACCTAGCCCCACCAGCCGAAGGGTACTTAACCACTTGCCATCCGGAAGATTTAAACCCCTCAATGACCAGGCCATTTTTTGCTATTCAGCATTGCGCTATTTCAACTGGTAATTGCGTGGTCATGCAATGCTGTAACCAAATGAAATTTATGCCCTTTTTTCCACACAAACAGAGCCTTCTATTGGTGTTATTTGATCATTAATGGGGTTTTTTATTTTTTGTGATATAAACAAAAAAAGACCGAAAATTAAAAAAAAAACATATTTTTTTTACTTTCAGTTATAAAAAATATATAGTAAACTCAAAGTTAGTCATAAATTTAGGCCAAAATGTATTCTGCTACATGTCTTTGGTGAAAAAAAAAATCTCAATACAGGTATATTAATGGGTTTGTGTGAAAGTTATAGCATTTACAAACTATGGTATATATATTGGAATTTACACAGCTTTTACTTTCTGACCGCCTGTCACATTTCTTGAGGTGCTAAAATGCCAGAGCAGTATAAACCCCTATCCTGGAATTTCAGGGCCAACATTAGAAGCTTATACCAGACATCACCAACTTTTCTAACCACTTGAAGACCATGTCTTTTTTGACACTTTTTGTTTACTTGAAAAAACTTTTTTTGCTAGAAAATTACTGTACTTAGAACCCCCAAACATTATATATATTTTTTAGAGCAGAGGCCCTAGAGAATAAAATGGTGAGTGTTGAAATTTTTCATGTCACACAGTATTTGCACAGTGATTTTTCAAACGTAAATTCTTTGGCAAAAATACACTTTTTAAAAAAACTAATGCACAAAAAACACAATATATTGCACAATTGTTTGATAAAATATAAAAGATAATGTTATACTGAGTAAATGGATACCAAATATGACAGGCTTTAAAATTGTGCACACCCATGCCACAGCGACAACTTTTGTAAATTCGTAATATCCAAAGGCGGCGTTTTAAAAGCCTTTACAGGTCACCACTTTAGATTTACACAAGAGGCCTAGTGCTAGAATTACTGCCCTCA